TAGCTTTCAGAGAGACAATATCCTAGGATACGTACACTGGGTGAAGAAGAAAGAAGATAATTTAAGAAACTCACTTGTTAGAAAGAGACACAAATCAAGCAAAAATAGTGCCCTCCATCTGCATGTTAAAATGTCACCACTTTTGGTTTGCAACAAATTGCTAAGATTACTGATCTCTTTGCAACCTTGCTAAAGGCACTGGTCCAGATTACTGCAACATTTCAGTTTAAATAAACTATTTTGGATTTAAGTGCAAAGAAGTGTTCAAAACCAATTACTTTTTCATGTATTCTCATAATTTATATATGGTAACAATGTGGGGGTTTTCCCCCTGTTTCTAACCTGCCCTGTTTTTGCCAGGAGCATTTTTATTTAATGTACGTTTTAAGAATACCTGAAATTAATAATTTTAAGATGGAAAATGACAGAATTCTGACAGCAGCTGTGCTACTGGGGACTGCAATCACTGTTAGCATTTTCCATTTTTTCATTACATTATTTTGTCAGATTTCCCTCAGTCCTATTTTATGTGAATTTATCAGCTTTGTAGTTTCAATTACCGCCAGAATGATGCACTACTCTAACTTACTATTTCTCCCATTAAAGGATTGAAAATAGCAACTTTTAAGTAATTGGATCCGAGAATATTGCATAGAATTGTTGTATTCATGAAACACCTTCTCTACAGCATTCCCATATGAACAAGTTACATAAAAATAATGCAGAGATCTTTCACCTAATGAGAAAGGCACATACATATTTTTATTTTTAACTGTAAGATAGATCTTTCCCATTACAGCAAGGAGTTTATTACTAAAGGACTCACTAATTCATGATATGGGCAGAGTGCACCAATACAGGTTCCTTTAAAGAGTGCCTCTATTTATAGGCATTTTACAGATGAATGAATAAAATGGTCAAATATTATGGCATCAACAGCAATTGCAATTAAATGCACTTCAAAAAACATGTGCAATTCTACTGTCTGAAATCTGTATCCTCAAAAATGGAATTGTATTGACAATCCCACTGAATGACCCCTTTGCCAAGGGATACTCTTCCCTTGCTTTCAGCAAACAAAATACTACACTTTTCCTTCCCTAACCATCCAGAGAGAAACATCAACAATTTTAACTGCAGTATAAAAGTATTTCTGTTAAAATAGCCTGGACCCTTCATCTACAGCTTAATAAGAGCATGGAACTGGAAACAGAAAGAGAAAATAAAAATGCTTTTAAAGAACTTCAGGAAAAAACAGACTCTGGCATTACAAATTTTCTGAAAACTGCCTGTGCTTTTACCCACCAAGAAAAGAAACGTCAGCAAGGGCTCTTGTTGCCACGCTCTGCAGAATGACTGCCCCGTGAGATGAGCCCCACGTCACACGTGCCTGAGTAATGCCTCCTCCTTCTCCCTTCTGTGTGATCACTGACCCAAGAGGGTAAAAAGCCACTGTGCTACTCCTTGGCTTTTTTTCTCCTCCAACTTTTTATCCTTTTAATTAAGTAAAAAAATTTATTCTGGTACACATTTTCCTAAAAGCATTACTTCCAACTGCTGCACTTGACCAGAAATATAGCCAAAATCTTTCAGTGTTGCTAAAGTTCAGTCTCTAAACCAGGGAGGTCTCTGCCAGTTTGGAAAGCCAGTAGGTAACTCATCTCCAACAAGAGAATCTCAGCAGTAGTTCAAGCTAATCCATTTTACTTTCCACTGAAACAGAAAAGCAGCCGTGACCTTGGCTAAAACCGGGAACAAAGAGCTGGGAACATCACTTCAACTCTACGAGCTCGTTCTGAGGGTGTTTGTCTGCCCGTGCCCTTAAATAAGGGGTCACTAAGGAACCCAAAGTGACTCCCGGCAGGATGGCCTGGGTCACCTCAACAGCATCTCAGCAGGCTAATCCACATTCAACGCAGATCATTAAATAGGAAACAACAAAAGGAGCTAAGTCATTAATAAAGTGCCAAAAAATATAGGAAATACTGACAGCATTTTATTTGATTAATTTTATAATAGATACCAATGACAACCCTTGGCAGGATGGAGTGACTTCTGACTTATGAATGCTGTCTTTATCCAGCAAAATTACACGATTCAAATGTAATAATGGAACTTAGAATTAACAGTTAGTGTTATAAAAGAAAGACTTCCTCTAGGGCAAGCTACAGATATGCTTTTTAAAAATCATTACAGCATTAAAAACTGGGCAGATGCTGAAGAATCTTAAAGAACTAGTGGAAACCTGAAAAGCAAAACAAAAATAAACAGAAAAAAAGAAAAGATATAAGTTTCAAGGCACTTACGTATTGCTTATTAAGAAGAGAGATTGACCTTAAGTGCTGCATTTGCGTTCAACCTGTGAATACAGTTCTGCTGTCATATAATGCAGCGAGAGCTCTCAGTAAGCATCATGGAATGCAATCATATAAACACAGGCACAAGAACAGTTTGGGGAATATTAATTTTAAAGAAATCATCAAACAGAAAAAATCCCTCACTATCAAGAAAGCCGAGTGTAACCACTTGACTGCATCAAGCACCTGATCTCAAATCAGCAGACAAGGACAGTAGGAATAGACTGGCAAGTGTATTGCCTAGAATTAATTAAAAAAACCCAACCTGAACCAAACATCAACAAAGGAAAAAAACAAAGAACATATGAAAATATCTGCATCTTCTAGTCAGAAGGTTTGCTTCTTGGCTGAAGACGCATCTTGTAATGACTTGTATTAAGGTATGTCTATTTTACCAGGATGTGCATTTATCAGTGGAGCTGTGCTTTGTAAGTCAAACCAGGACATTGTACAGATACAGAGAGGTAACTCTTTGCTTCACCACGTTATTTCCCTCGCTGGCCGTTCCTGCGGACTAACTGCACTCCAGGTAAGAAGCCGTCATCACTTCCAGCATGTGCTCTCACATACTGGTGTCTGTTATTACCAATTGTCTCCTCAGCTCATCACAGAAAGGGGCAGTTGCTCTCTCTGCTTCTCAATTTTAGTTTTGCATCACAAAGTCCCCAGTTACCCAAGGAGGTATCCTGAAACAGCTACCAGTAAAAATAGGAAATAAATCCCTGCCTTTCAGCCTCCTAGAGCCTTCTTTTCTTAATCATGAAAAGGATTGATTTTAGTGTACTGATTCTTAATTTGTGAAAACTTGCGCTAAGTGCTGCTGTTGCATGTTAAGAGACTGTAAATGAAATACGTAAGTTCTAAAACATCATGCAAGAAATGTGGTTTCACATCTTACAGTCAAAAATCCTACTAATGAATTAATACAAGCACACTGAGGTGTAATATTGGGAACATACCTTTAAAGTCGGAACTCCTCTCCCCATCCCTCCCTCCCCCAAAATCAGAAAAGTAATATTAATTAAACTTAAGAAGTAATGAATGCACCATTAAAGTGTCATCAAAAAGATGCTGACCTAAGACAAAAGTTCAATGATACACAATACGGTCAAAAAGTCTTCAATCAATAATATACAGTATGACAACTACATCTTGTAAATTATACCCAATACTGCCGGCAGTCTATCCCTCTAAAGAATATTTGCCCCCTTTCATCCCTTCCTAACAATCAGATAATAAAATACAGCACCTATAAATAAGCAAAAAAAAATTATATATATATATATATTTATATATATATATATTCCGAAATCATCTATTGTTAGTTTTAAAGATATGGCAATAAAGGAGTCTAAATTAGCAAACTTGTAGAAGCCATAACTGATAAAACAGCTTATTGAAAAAAGGTGGCAGTAATGCACTCTATGTGTGCACAAGTACGTAAGAAAATACACAGACGTATAAAATTGCACGCACACACTCACGCACACGCATCCTTCCACACACCTCTATGCTCACGCATATACATATAGACAACAGGAGGAGTTAGAGACAAGTTAGAATTTGATTTGTACTTTGATCAGCCCTAACCTGTGCATAAAATAATGGAAAAAGGCTGTATTTCTGCAGGGCAGAATGGTCTAGACTGGGACTCAAGAGCATGAATGTTTTGGTTTGGAGTCAGGGCTATTTCTGTCCCGGTAAGAGCCCGTCTGGTCATTGCCATGTACTCTTTATCCACGCAAAAATAAGCTTCCCACAACTAAAACGTATTTAAAATCAGTGCTTGTGGTGGGAAAAGAGTCAGTAAATGGCCACCAACAGCAGGAAAAGTTCTCTATCTGAGGCAGCTCCAGTCCCCTCTTAGTGGTGTGTGACAGCAATCGTACACATGAACTACACTTTAATTGATTCCAGGTAAGCTGAATATTTCGGGTCATGGAATACATCCCGAAAGTAGCAGGCTGAAATGTTACTGGCCAACATTTTTTGAGTGATCTGTCTTTACTGAAAGGAAATTCTGTACACTACGAACCAAGTGAAATGATCAAGTACATGCTGTTTCTAAGTTGTCTCCTAAACCTCCTAGATATGAGGTCTGATCAGCGTGCTCTGTGGTTAGAGGTTAAAAAGCAGATTATAAAATACCTAGATTCAGATTTTTTTTTTTTGTCCTGATTTGGCCTAAAATGGAGTGTATTAAACAAATTCTGGTCTGCAAAAGACCAGAATCAGTTAAAGCTATGAAACAATGTGCACTACGTGTCAATATTCTATTTCACTTACAAGAAAACACTAAGTCAGCTACCACAAATTAAGATATTTTCCTGATGTGACTTTTTTTGTTTTGTTAAAAAATATGTGGAGTAAATGTGTTTTTTTTTTTTCTTTAATTCAAAGTTTCAAACAACAAGATTCTTTTCTTTTCTTGAAAATATGTAGGAATCCAAACTAGTGTGTTTAGAGTCGGTTGACTGTGCAATCTCTTAGTGGCAACTGAACAGCTACAAAAAACTTTCTTTTTTTTTTCTTTTTTTTTGAAAAATCTCCCCTTTTTTCCTGGTTTAAGAAGATAATAGTGTATTATCGCTCTGTAGCCATTAGATGGCAGATAAAAAGCCCCCTTTTAATATGTGGGTTTGATTTTTTTTTCTTTTTTTTCTGTTTTTCTTTTTTTAAAGCCCACACCAAAGAGGAGGGCACAAGGCAAAGCTGTATGAGTTATTCCAGAAATTGTGGAAATCACTTAGGGCAATAATAAAAACACTTCAGGGTACAAAAAAGCTTGACTACACATTTCAGTTTTCTTCCTCGAAAACACAAACATAAATTGGGCTTAACGCTCCTTTTTGTTTTCTATATGCACCTTGGCCTATGGCGTTTTTGCCCTGTGGCCCGCAGGGCGGTTAAGTGCGCAACACAATAAAACCAGTAGAGGTCCAGTTTCACTTCCCAGCTCTCCAGAGTTGGGTGAGTTTAATCTCAAAACTCCCACTCGACGGCCTCTTCTCGACTCGCGGCCTTCTCCAAGCGGTGGATGATGTTGTTCAAGTTTGCCGCTTTCTTTTTCCTCAAGGAGCTGTCTCGCGTGTTCCTGGAGCTCGCCGCCTCGGAGAAGCCAAACAAGCTCTGAAGAGAGTTGGCTTTCTGCGAGCCTGTGGCTGGCGTCGAGCTCGTACTTGGCACACTGGAGATTTTCTCTGAACTTTCTTTTGACTTGTAGGAGCTCTCCCCTGTAAGGACTGAGGTGGAGGCAGCTGAGGTAGAGGCATCCCCTTCCGTGGCAGAGTTTGGCAGTGTCTCCAGAGCTTCTCCCGGGCGCTGCGATGCCGGCGGAGAGCTCTGGCGCGGTGCTCTGAGCCTGCCCTCGTCGTCAGTGTCCTCCAGGCTCTCCGCCTGGAACGGCTCCACTTTCTCCGAAGACCTGGCGCCTTGCAGTGCCTCTTCCCCCGCTTCGAAAGCCGACTCCGCTGGCCCTCCCTGAGACTTTGTGGTTGCATTGCTGTACTCATCCGCCTCTGGGCCACTCGGCTTTCCTTCAGGTGGGCCTTCCGTGTCCACGCCATCGCAGCTGTCTCCCTCGGAGCTGTGAGCGGCCCTGCTGCTTCTGGCGGAAGGAGAGTCGCTCGACCCAGCCTGGCTCTGGCTTCCGGCTTGGATCTCCTCGATGAACAGCTCCCGGCGGATGCGAGACCTAGGAGACAGGGGAGAGGGATGGTGAGTCTGCCGGCGTCACTTGGAGCCACCCTGCTCTACGAGATTTGTCATTCCCAACGCCATTTTGTAGGAGGCCATTTGCCCCGGCTATGGGACAGCTGCACCAAGCGGGCCAGCAGAAGTGCTCACACCCTCAAACCCAAAGGACTGACTGAAAAGGCATTGGGAAGAACATGAAAAATTGTCAAGATGCCCTTAATTTCATTTTCCCTGGCCACACGCCTGCTGCAAAGCTGGCAGTGCTGGAAGGATGCAGGCTACAAACCCCAGATGGCCCCGGGGGCTCCTCCACGGCATGGCAGGAGGGCAGGCAGCTGCAGCCGGGATTTTGAGCAGATAAGCCATTTCTGGTAACTTCTGCAGTGTTTAGTTAGTCTGACTTCAACCAGGATTTTGCATATTTATTGTAAATCTGATGTTGATGACTGCCCCTTGTGGTAAGCACAGCAGGCATTATGAAATAAAGCAAAAATATAAACTTTATGCAGATAATCAATTTGTACTAAAATTATTGGTGAAAACCAATGACAGATCATCTTCCCTTTTTTTTTTCAAGTTTAAATTAAATATCATTCATAACTGTATGATCAATTTTTACAGCACTGGATGTGGTTTAAGGGATGCAGAAGAAAGGCTCTGCAGTCTCCAATTCCCCGTAAGTCTGACATCAGGAAGGTGAAACTTTACAAAACACTGGACCAGAAAAGGGATGATTTAAAAAATATGAATATATTCCTAGCAGATCCAGAAGAAAACAGCTTGCACATACAAGACAATTCAGATTTCTACCAGAAGTGAACCACAGTTGGCCTAAACAAAAAAATAAACAAGGAAAAAATCTGGACAACCCCTTAGTGTTCTCCTGGACATCAAGGAGAACTGAAGATGAAACAAAGTCTGTTGTTCTGAAACTGCTCTGGGGAAGCACAGCCTTTTGACACGCTGTCAGTCTATGAGCTGGTTGGACTTGTGCCTCATTTTTTATTTAAAAAATCTATTTTAGTACATGAATAGCGACAAGGCAAGCACTGCATTTCAAGAGAATTAATGCACTCCGTGTGGCGTTAAAATTGCCTGGTGTGCCACTGTGTGCCTCTTATTACTTGAAGTGTTCAAAAATACCCCAAACACTCTACCTCTGCCATTTAACTTGGTCCTTCCTCCCACTTCCTTCTCTGTTTAGAAGCTTCCAATATCCTCACCAGTACAGAACAGTTCATGGAAAAATCTTAGTGTCTGGACTAACTCCTCTTAGCAGTAGGAGAGGTTATGACCACTCTTCAGGTCCTAATTTGCAACCAAGAGGGAGCCTCAATGACCCGTGGTCAGGAATGGGACTACAAACACAGGGACAGTTTAGCAAAACTTTATCTTTTAGAGTGAAGGTAACACTTTTGGTTTTAGCCAGGGAGAACTGCTAAGAGTCTTGTAATTCACAAGTGAAATGCTGTGCCCATGCTGATAGCTGTAGGAATTTTTAGTTTTTCTCTTTGTGTGCTATGGAAGACAGCACACAATGGAAAAAAATTAGGGTAAATGCACACCATCATCTGAATACTGCTTTTGAAGCTATTGTTGATGTACTTGAAATGCAACAGAGTATTTCAGCAGTACTTGTTGACTCTACACTTTTGAGGGATTTAGGGGTCTGTAAATTTTCCCTAGAGAATATTATTCACCTAACAGAAGACCACAGGTGCTAGCATTAATTCTCTATTACCATTAACAGCATGCATCCTGCAACATTGATTATCAGCCCCTATTTCTGCCTATAATCTCCCTGCATGGACAATGATCCAGAACACGCTGCTTCTGTAACATTCCCCAAGTCAGGAGAGGAAACAGGTAAGAGCTTTGTGCCTGCATGGCATTTAAAACACCTCGGCTCCAGAAAGATACTGAAGGATGACATGTTCACTGAGCACTGACCACAGCCCTGCAGAATACAGGCTCATGTCTGCAAAAATCCCTGGAATTCACACCCAATATACTGCTTCTGGAATCTAGTCTGGCTCCTGATTAACACCGTAATTAAATCCCTATGGTAAAGAAGAACTGGTGACAGTAGCTAGGAAATTCCAGATAGCACTCCTCTCAGTGGAAGGGGTTGGCCTCCACATCAACACATCCTGTTGGCATTCATCGGTGTGACTCCAAATATCAGAGATCTCCTGAGGTATATGTTGAAGTTCCCTGTACAGGCCTTCACACAACACCTAAACAAGCACAGTGCTACAGTTCATTGAAAAATATGCCCACAATAAAAGCAATGAAATTTAGGATCCAAGAGCACTAGATTATATTTCAAGAAGTTCTGATTAATTCCTGATGCTTCTGTAGTATCCCATCTGGTGGATATAAAGTTAAGATTCTGCTGTAGCAACCACCTTTGCAAAGTGAGGTTTAGGCTGAGTCCCAAAGGAAAAGCATCACCACAACTGGATTCCCAAGAGACAGGAAGACAAAGTTGTCCGAATCTGTACCCTGCCTTACCTGAAGTTACTTTAAAGAAAAATCTGTATATTAAAGAGTAACTAGATGGTCTGAGATGTGGAACAGCTTTTGTATGAAGACTCTTCAGTTTGGAAAAGAAATATCTGAGGGAGAGCATAAAAGAGATAAATAAAGTGTGGCCTGGAGAAGATGAAGAGGGGAAACACTACCCATTTCTTAACACATGAGCTGCAGAACAGTCAGACCCTGTTCCCCTAGCAGAACATGTAGCTTGTACCTCTTCTGCAATGTCCTGCCAATGATTTAAGAGTACTTCATGCATGAAAGCTAAGAAAATTATTGTACAGAGGAAAAGAACAGGCACGTGTGTTGATTTTGCAGTGGTGGGAACTGCTTAAAGCACCCACAGCTCCACACAGGCTTGAAACCTCTCTGAGTCCTGAAGACTCAGCAGCACATCTGGGACCCGTTCCAGATCACTCAGTGCTCGGAGGCTTGTGCTACCCACCAGCCTACAGCACCTTGTTTATACATTTTTTATTTTGTATACAACTGTCAGCACCTAGTCTACATGACTGTATAGCTTGGTGTGGCTAAACACGCTGATCAATCATGACTTGTCACGCTTTCTCGCAGCACGCCTAAACGGGAGATCTCATGATAATGAGGAAGATGACACATGCCACCAGTGCTCCTGCACTCGTCTGCGTAAGTGAGAACAGCACATTTTGCTGTCAGGCCGAAGGGAACATATTTTCATAGGCATTCCTCCAACTTGTGTATAATTGCCTAGAAGTGGGAATTGGAAGGGAGGCCTGCATTTGGAGAACTCGGAGCAGTGAAAGAGGCTGCATCTGTAGCGAATTCAAGTCAATGAAATTCAGTGTAAGTATGATTAGTCGTTGGTTATAATTTTTAGGTTTTTTATTGTTTACTATAAACATTATTTAACTATTGTGCATAGTATTTCTGACACATATCTCATTAAACTGTGCTGCTTCTGCCTCAGCAACTTCCCTGTTAAAAACTGAGAAGGGCCAAAGTGGAAAATACCCTTTAAATGTTAGCAGTTTGTATAAACAAACAAGTTTAGCAATCTGGACTAATTAGGAACATTGCTGGCTCCAAGTGAAGCAATAGTGTTAAATCTGGTATCTTAACTGTACCTGTTCAATATTCATTAGCACAAGTTTCTTGGAGAAAATTCTGCTGCATTAATTAAGATTCCCAATCCCAAGCAGTTGATAATATGTTTATTCAAATCCTTACAATTCTTATATGCCATTCCAGCATTGTTTCTTTTTATCGTTGTCTCTAGGCCAAAAGCTATTTCATTGGTTCAAATGTGGGGAAGGTTCCTTCTATTATGAGAAAGGAACTAAACAGACCGACATCTTACTCCATTTCAGCAGGACTCAATGATTTAATCATAACAATGAAATAAATTTGCGGCCACAGCTGCCTTCAGGGTTATCAGTTCTCTGTCCTTCGTGACTTTGTGGAGCTTCCCAGAAATACATCACACACTGTGCTTATTTTCAATGCTCAGTGACTCGAGATCTAAGAGAAAATCCTTTTGCTCTTATGGGGGAAAATTATATGATGAAAGCAGTGCAATTCTGATGCCATCCAGTAGAGGACACTTCCAAGAACCCCCCCACTAAGTGACCCAGGCATAACACACACTACACACACCTATATGTGTGCATCTATGTGCAAGTATATGTCTGTGTGAGCGTGCAGATGCGAGGAAGAAAGACCAGGCTTGATTACTGCGGTGGGATTTATAAATATTCAGCAGTGGACATCTCTAAATCTGTGCCCACCCCAAAAGCAAGACTTTCTGTTTAAAAGCACTACTTACAACAGTATGTGAATATTGCTGTTCCTCAGGGATGATTTAATATAAGTCTGGAGCATTAGCATTACTGTTAGTCAGAACCTGCCTGCTGTTGAAACTGTTCATTTTGTACAAGCACTCAACGCTCGCAGAAGCGGACAGTCTGCTGAAGCAGAATAGCACCCTGACAAAGCAAATAAAATAAATCCTTTATGAGTAGGGCTCCCGGGAGATCTCCTACCTGTAATTGTGGAACCAGTTGATCACGGTGCTGGTTTTCAAGTTGAGCTGTGTAGCGAGTTCCTCAATGGTTTTTGGTGATGGGTATGGCTTTTGCTGGTAGGCTCGTTTCAGAGCTTCTTTCTCTTCCGGTGCCAGCACCACCCGGGGCTTCTTCAGCTGATGCTGTGGCTGCGGGCTGGCTCCCTGGCTGTAGTCTATTCCAGCGGATGAGGACTCGCAAGACTGACTGTCGCTAACAGAGCTGTGTCGCCGTTTCATGTAGGCTGAAAGAGAAGTGCATCGGATCATCCCCAGCTGAATACAAATGCAAAATCAATGAATATACGAGCTGTGGAGTAAATGTGAAGATGACAGGTTGTAGATGCATGGATGGGCTATTCGGAGAGAACAGAAAGGAAGGGGCATCATCAGAGACCAGAGGAAAACAAACGTGGAGAGGATGCAAGAGGCAGAAAAAGAAGAAAGAAGGGGAAGAAAAGAGGGTAAATCAGCTGGAAACCTGCTGGAGTTTTCTGCTTTTTCAATGAAGATGGGACATGAATAAGAGAGTTCAGTCAACACAACTTATTTCAAATTCACTCTTTCAAGAGTGGTGAACTTCCACGTAAGCACTTGATTAGGACAGCTGCACTTCATTTCAACTTTAATGTTTGTGGCTGTTAAACATTTAAGGTGTATACTAAGGTCTCTCTAAACTTAAGGTCTCCGAATTAAAAATATGGAAGGCAGCTGCAGCCACATCGCCAACACACGATGGCGCCCGACACCCGGCGATCCCAGTACCACGAGCTGAACAACCCATCAGGCGTTTGCTGCTTTTTCCTACAGATCTTCGCTATAGCGGTGACAGGTTATGAAAGAAAAACAGCCCACAGCATCCTCCTCCCCTACGTAAGGCTTTTTCAAAAACGCATCTACTTTTAAGAAAGCTCCTGCTGCACTGATGGAGCTCGGCGAGGCTGATGGCAGAAGCCTGAGATACCACCTCTGACTCTCCTCCCCGACAGGGACTGAATTATCCTGGCAAATTCTGCAAGGAAAGAGTCCCAGCAAACGCTGTCACTGACTTGATTGATTTACATCGGGCAAAGAGAGGTGGGATTTACTGCACCTGGCAGTATCATGCACAAGCACTGCTAATGAGGGGGCTGAAAACAGCAAATATAGATGAATCTTGTCAATAAAACATTTAATGGCCTGTTAAATACCTTCTAGATATTTAAGAGTTTAGGTATTCAAGAGCTGCAATTTGATAACCTCAGCTATTAAGTTCCAGATCACATCGGCCTGACATCAATTTAGTAGGCACTAAATCTCCAAGAGGCAGAAGCTCCAGTCGGAGCCAGGGACCAATGTGGGGCACATGACACTGGTCAGCAACCAAATTCTTCAAAAAACTAATTTCCCTCTCCCCACAGCTCTGCCTTTGGGCTGAGGGTGCATGAAGAATAAAAATTGAATGCAATCAAAAAACCTGAAATGTTCAAAGCCCTTCTCACACAAGCCAGCTTCTTCTGGCAGAGCTCCCTACAGGAGTTCCTGTCTCCAGTGGGTTTCAGCATCCAGTCCTCCACATGGTCGTACGTCCAGTGGGGACCTTTTTACACTGTGTCTTACTATCATCGAAGTGAATTTTGAACACACTCTGTAACCTTTGGGGGTATCTGCATGGCCCTCATTTTGTTTTTCCTGAATATGACAGATTACCTGTGGATTGCCTACTGTGTAAGATCACTGATATGGAACAGAATGTGAGTTGCTCATGATCCATCACTCTGCCATGATACAGTCCTGCACGTGTTTGAAATAACCATTAAAAGGAATGTTTTTTATTTTTTTTTTAAAAATACAATTCATTTTAAAAATCACCTATTTAAGTTGTTCCAACCAGATGTAGAACTGCAAAGTGACCGCAGATAAATGCATTATTTCAGGTAACCTATTTGTCTTATTTTTGCATCCTTTGAGGAACTGTTACAACCTTGAACCATGGAATTAATCCTTCCAGCAATATAATCTCACATTTATATAAAGTCTTTAATTTCAAAGACTCTGAGGTGTTATCTCAAACTTGCATTGACGTGCAAACTAGATACAAGGTTCCCTTGTCTCCTTTGATAGCACAACCAAGAGGGCTGAAAGACAGCATCTAGCCCTTCAGCAACGTGCAGCAGCCTACAGGAGGCCATGGGACACCAGAACCTCACCTGGAAGATGTGAAAGGTGTTTAAGGCTATCTCTAACCACAGTTTCTGGAATTTTGTCAGGCAACTGACTTAGCACGAGACACCCATGTATCAGGATGCTCTGAATCTCTGCTTTCTCTGCTCCCAAAGGATGGCATTTCTGGCAGGTCACAGCTCCCATCTTTAGACTCCTACGGACAGCATGAAGCTGTGATAGCTTGGGAAACATTTCATGCCCTAATGCCTGCCTCTGCTTTTGTAACCTCACCCTGGGATCGCAAAAGGTGCAATGGATTATTCATATCTATCTCATGTGAATGGCACAAATTATATAAATGCACGTATCTCCTTGATGTAGACATAAAGAGTAGGATGTCCCACTGTCCTGTCATAAGCAATTGTTTTTCTGGAGGATAATAAATTATCAGAACAAATTTCCATTGGGCCAAAGGCACAATCCTGGCACTTCACCATGTGCTGAACTAGGACTTAAGCTTTAAGCTTTAATGGTGGTCTCTGGAAACTTCAGAGGACATTCTTAAAAGCTCTTCCTTTTTAATTCTTATTTTAAACATATGTGCTGCATGTAGACAACATAAGGAGATCATTCAGCACATTTGCAGTGACAGCAAGGCTCAAACCAGAATCCAAGTTGCAAACACACTTGATTTTTGGAGAAGTTTGATTTTTGTCTGTGATCAGTCTCCACTTCTCAGGAGACCTATAAAAAAACCCAACTCCAAATGTAATTTGGGCAAAGGTCTGGACGTGGGTCTGAGACCAACTTGTAAAGGCCAGGGCTATCCTGAATTTTACTACCTTTTTTTCCCTCTGCTGTTGCCAACCCAGCATCACTGTGTCCCTCTGGGATGGCTCCCCAGCACACGCTCAGCTATAGATGCAGCAGACACTATTGCAGAACTAGCGACTGCCCACTGAGGTAAAACAGAGCCTGTTTTAATGTAGTTTTTACCTTTCATGGTATTGAACAAGATTATTAAAAAGCAAAATAATGGGGAAATAAAGGGAATTAATTTTTTTCCTGACAGCAGGCTTCAGTACTGTTCAGTGAGGAGCGTGACGTTACCAGCAGCACACACACCAGGAGGTTGTAAGAAAGAGGAATGAACTCTTCCAAGGCAGGAAAGGTGGTGCAGAGTGTCTCAGCCTTGTGAGCGTGAACCCTCGGCTTCCTCCAAAGAGGTTAGTTAATGTATGTTACAAATTTTCAGAATCTCTTAGAATGGACATTTATAGCACAAACTTCAGACTGGTAGAACAGAAAAAAAGATATACGCAGCTCACCTTTATCATAATTATTAATTTACTCCCGCAATAAAACATGGCAGAGAAATAATTGATAATAATGTTTCACTCGTAGCAGATACAGTTGCATTGTTCTTTAACTGACATTAGCTGAAGGGAAAGTTAAATTCTTAATGTGGCTCTAGAGCAATTTAAAAGGTTAAATCACAGGATCCTTACCTGCATGAAAGGATTTTGCAGAAAATACAGCACTGAATTCACTTTAGAGTGCTCTGCTATGAGGACAGCACTTACACAGTTCAGGAGCTCAGTACAGAGTCTCAATGATTTATAACCTTATCTCTATTCAGGTGCCATCTACAGAGCATATGTATTGCACACTATTTGATAAGAATCCAGTTTAGAAAATAGTTTTGAAAGGATATTGTCAGTACTACTTTTAAATTATTTTTATGTTATTTTCCTGCATTATGGGCGATATTCTCTTTGAGGCTATAAAAATCCAGCTAGTTGACAATTTTATTTCTGCCATGTTTCTAATACAGCAAAACCCATCATGGCTCCCTTTGGTTTACAGTTGTAAGTGGGAAACCCAAGTGGATTTTACTCCCCATGGAAGATCATACACAATTTGTGGTAAGATACTGCATTGCATTACATTATACTGGTTACTGTGACAAGGATTTGAATTTCTTCTTAAAAGCATGCAAGACTACAATTCTCCTAGAAGCTTCTTCACTGCAATTTTTCATATAATCACAAAGTTCCTGATCAAATGTGCTAATGCTTTCAGGACATCATTCAACAGCAGCACTTTCAGTGCACACAATTAATGCTATCTGTACTAATATCATTAAGGGATAGCTCGACAGATGTATATATCATTAGTATAGTTAACTGCTGATAATGGCAACCTATAAGTCTCTCTTGTAAAATTACACGAACGTACTAAAACTAGGGCTCTGAATAACCACTGCTTTTTAGTAAGGAATTTAAAATACAGAGAGCAGGATAAAATTTCAGGGTATACTCCCTACTAAGATACCCAATAACAGATCTCTCAGGTACATGCTCATGACTTAGCTGTTTTATGTGAACATGTATTAATACAGTCATGTTCCCCCATCCCTACAAAGGCTACAGATTTAATTGTTCTCAAATACCCTTTTATAAAGGCTGCATTTTTCTTTGCTCCTAGTGACCATCAGTGCAGGACTGGAGAGAAGCTCTCTCAGGAATCAATGCACAGTTCTTCCAGCCCAACATCTGTGACCAGCTGCAGCACTATTAACTAATAACCCAAAGCCAGCTCCCAAACTCACATTTCTCATTTGGTAAGGCAAGTTATCAGTGATACACCAGGGCCTCAGTAATTAATCTATAGGAGAACATAGCAGTGATTTCACAACAGCTGGTGAATATTCAGGGTTTTGGGTTGTTTTTTTGTATGGCTTTTTTTGAGATGTATCTGCTTGAGCTAGCATCAAAAAAAGCTATGAAAAAGATGACATGAAGTCCTTCTGCATAACCTTCATAATACTGGATCAATGCTGCCTCTATATTATTTATGGAGAATTCTAAAAGGCACGGTCATCTTTGAAATAACAGAAAACATGAGTCAGCAGTCTGCTCCAAGTTACCTTTTTTCTCCATTCGTTTCATATCCATCAGCTTCTCCACGTTGTTGGGATCGTTCAGCCACAGCTGCATGCGGACAAAGGGTTCCCGTCCCTTCAAACTCAGCTTGTGCCAGGGCTTCGGGCGAGCCAGAAGGTCTGAGACAGAGCCTTGTGTTAGCCCTAGGATTGTCTCCCCAAACAAACGCTGACCTAATACAAAATTGAAAATTGCATGTATTCATTCAGCTAAGAGACAAGGCTAACTAAAAAGACAGAACACGTCTACGAGATCATTCGTCAATTATTCTTACTTCAGAATTGCTTGAAAACCCAAAAGAAACATTTAGAAGAATAAAAGCTCTGCCCCCCACTAAAAATGTAAATATTGAGCTTTAGTTTAATCCTTAGGATCTGACTGAGGCAAAAAGGGGAGCTCAACACATTCGGGGACCAGGACCTTAGAGGGAAACAATGTGCAAAAAATGAAATTAATGAGATTTTAAAAACCCTGAGCTTTTAGCTAAGCAGGAAACTAGTGAGAGCAGTGAGGCCACTTACTTAGCTCTTATGCAGGAGGGCACTGCAACAGCTTCGTTCTAACAGGGCAAGCCAAACATTTCAAGCAATCAGTGAACCAAGACCAATGCAATCCCTCCATTCAGCAACAGTCATATAAGTGTCCTCAAAGACACACGTATGGATTTTCTGTGCTGTACTATCTGTGGTATTCTAACGGTGTCTTACCAACTACAGATAATCACATTTTACAATATAACAGATGTTTTTACAGTCTCTACAGCACTTCTAGTTAAGAATACTTAATTTTAGTTCTCTTTCAAAATGCTATCATCTTAGCAGGGTAAAAACTGCATATGCTTTTCAACGTACAGCATTAGTATGTGCATTGGTAACACCAGCTTTATATGGTTAAGATCTACCTTATCAAGGACTCTGGAAAATGCTTGTGCAGCTCAAACCCAACCATACAGCTGGTTTTCTAAAACCCTTCAGTGTTCTTCCTAAGCTAAACTGCCTTGATATGCAACAGCTTTTGTTACAAGACAGAGCCTGAAGTCATCTGAGTCATCGCAGTGATTTCTGATAGAAGTGCAGCTATCATCTATTTTCAAGGTAACCCAAAGATCTTTCCATACCGACCAAGTTTAGGCCTCGGGGTCTTGTGTCTGATCTGTAGCTTTTGAATGCCCTTGCTAACAGAAAGCAGAACGCTTTTCCTTCACTTCCTAGCAGTGCCAGCAGACTCAGCCGGTGGCAAAAAACAGCTCCCTGAGGGACAGTGCTGATGCGTGGGGGCTTGCGCTTCTACAGCTCGGCAGGACACGTCTGCACTTGCAAAAGCACCATCAGCTCCTGCCTTCACAGCCTCACCCCATCCTGACACAAATACCTGCTCTACAGACCCGTTCCCCGTGCTTTACTCCACGAATCTCCTCCTCCTCCTCTATAAAAGCATCCCAAGATTTTGTGCCCTGTGGTGAATTTTTTTTCACCTGTATGGGGAGACGAGGGCAAGTGGGACCAGTTAGAAGCTGCAGGATGTCCCATTCAGATGGACGGGGCAGGGGGGCCTGCAAAGCTTTTTGGAGGAAGCAGCTGAGATAATGAAAGGCAGAAAGGGGAAACAGAAAAGGACAGGGCTAACATGAGTCTGCTAATAAGCTCTAAAACTAACCCTGAAAATGGTTCTTACAGGCTGAACGGAAACCTAAATTCAGAATTCACTTAAGTTTCTAAGTAATAAGTGATTTCCCACTATCCTCGGTATCAGGAAAATCAGACAAAAGAAGAAATTTGTGGCCAATTTTAGATTCTGTATATTGCAAAGTTAACCTGTTTGTATTTTAAAACATCAGTAAAGTTTTAAAAAAAAACAGTAAGGCCTCATCCATTTACTTTTAAACCTGCCAGCTACTAGCAAGATAAGACAGCTACTTTCAAAATCTTTTAATTTGCCTTCGTAAATAACTTTGCTGTTCCCCACAGTTTCTAAGCCCAGGCTGTGCTCAGGGAGAGCTTGGGCAGCCCCTTGTGCAGTGCCAGTGTGGTCACTGTGACTGCCCATGCAGCTGCGCAGTGAATCAGAGCAGGGAACTGATCTGAGTCAAACCAACCTACCAAAAATAAACGGCCTCTTTTGACTCAGACCGACTGGTCCAGTCTATTGTGCGCCCACATGAACAGCAACACTGGCACAAATTTGCAAAAGAGTCAAGAACAAGCAGCCCAGATCAGGTGCTAGCAATGCTGCTGAAGGAAATGAACTTCAAACTACAGCCTAAAAATTAAAAATGCAAACGTGGAAAGAGGTAACATCATGTTCTCTAGGTTTTAAGAACAAAGCTAAAGATGTTTTTGTCATTTATTTTATTCCAGGATATGGCAGGACAGGATAAAACACCTGAAAGACTCCCAAGCTAATGGGGAATGTGTTAGAAATCATTCTCTGGAGGTAGCAGGTGTATCACACTCCATCTTCATCAGAGTGCTATTAATAACTGGAATATTTTTAAACACAGGTTTCCTAAAACTCCTGCTAATTCTCCCTATCTTTTATCCTAATATCCTTCATGTCTGTTCCCACTGATGTAGCTCCTTACGGACAAAACTTTCTGTAAATTATGTTGGTTTCATGGTTAGTCCTGGCCCTTCTGAAAACCCACCACCACTGTAATCCTTCACTGCCTTTGCTTCCCTCTTGAAGTTTTATGTTGTCCAAGAGGGAATCACTGATAACACTACGACATCTGGGACCAGGAATACCAGCAACATCTCAGCGTTATCACTGCCAGCATCATTTACTAAAATGGTGACTGTTGAACAAACGCTAAAAGGCATGGGAAGAGAGACCCGCCAAATGCATCTTGAATGGTTTTGCACAATCGTGGTCTTTACTGGCTGATGATATTGCAACAACTGAGCCACCACCAGTTGCCTAAGACAGGTTCACAAGGCCTGTGGCCTAAGACCGAGTCAATCTGGTGCAATAGCACACTGAGGGCACAAAAGGAGACATTGAAACTGGTTCCACACCTAATGCAGAGTTTGGGGCACATTTCCTGGCTCTTCTGCTGCTTTTTAGGCTTGTCAGCCACACTGTAGGAAAACAAAAATCATGGGAAATAAAAAAGACTAAGTAAAAATGGCATCAAAGCAAATGTAAACAAAAATACTTTTTCAAACCTCTCTGGAACACCAGAGCAGGTACAGAACTAAACAGCATTTTTCCCAAAAACTAGGGACTTGAACCTGCAAAGCCTTACCGTGACTTGTGGCTTTATCTCTGCATTACCTCCACTGAACAACCAACCACAGTCTGCCCGTGCCAACATGCAGGAGCAAGTGATTCTGCTAGGTTCAGTGGAAAACAATCTCATGCAGGGTATAACCACGATCAGGGCCATTTTATTTTTTTCCCAAATTATGTTAAATGAGAACTTGTAACCTCCCCCATCCCTGTATTCTTCCCCTTTAAAAAAAACCCAACAGTCTAAGATAGTTACACGTTATTCTGTGTCTAGCCAAAAAAAGGCTTCCTTACATACTAAAATAAAGGAGTTTTTACTTATACAGTCATAATATTCAGATGACATGGATGGAATTCTTCTCACAGAAGTACGATCAGCATTTTAAACCTAAACTATCTTTTTGGTCCCATCTGTAGTGAGTGGAAAGATACTGGTATTTCTGGAGAGTGAGTCATCCCAACCATCTCAGACATCTATTTTGAACATCTAAACGCAGGTGAGATGAATCCCATGCTAAGGCCCAGAAGCATGTGCAGGTAACACTGGGGCAGCCTTACTGCCTTCCTGCTAGAGACTTCAAAGGACTCCTAAAGGTTTCCCAATGCCTTGTGAGGGTTGAACACATATGGAAAAACTAGTGATTTAGAGGCATAGTGGCAGTATTAGGTGTGGATTTCCCATACTTAGATCAGGTTATTCCCTTTGACTACTCCAAATATACAGCCATGTCAACATCACACTTAATTTGACACCCAAAAACCCATCTGTACACAAAAGCAGCTTTAGCTTTGCACATTTCTAAGTAACTGAATGGCCCCATAATACTTATCTACAGGTCCATCAAAACCTCAGCTGAGTCTGAATTTACCCACGTAGCTCTACAGGTATGCTATGCTTTGGCTTGTGATGCACCTCCCTCTCCAGTCATGCTGGACTCCTCTACTTCACCTATACCTAAAATGCCAGGGACTTGAATCTATAAGCATGGGAAAAACAGCATTTCTCAAGGGGAGATCTCGCTGGCTTTGGGGTCTTGGTCTTCTGGGACAGCCTGCTGGACTGTATTTCGGCAGGTGGGAGCAGTATCTGGCTGGTGAGCCAGGAGCAGAGCTTAAGAAGAGCAAGGGTATGGTGACATTTTATGTAGTGTGACAATCTGAAAGGATTTCTCTACCAGTTTAAAAAAAAAAAAAAAAGTATTTTTAACAGATTAAAACTTAGGCCAGAGTCAAAACCAAGTATTCGTGTAAACATCCATTGAATTATAGCTTAAAAATAAAAGCATGAATACTTTCATCTTATTTCAGTCAAGAAATGAGAATAAAGCGATTTACCAAGATTGTTGTCTGTTAGCACTTCTTTGACCCTCTTTGTAATGCCATACGTATCCAGCTCAGGGGACATAGCAACCAGTTCTTGAATGCTGAGTGCCGAGTGGCCCGGCAGTGGCAAAGGTGTTGTAGATTGGGATTCAGAAGCAGACGGCTCGCTAGATTCTTGGGATTTGCCATCCTTACTTGTCTCTATAGCAGGGCAGGGTTGCTGTACCAATTCAGTCAGGCTTTTCACTGACTCACTGGAACTCATGGGAGATTCAGGAGCAGGACTGCAACTGGCAGAAGTCTTTGGAGTGCTTTCTGTAATTAAAAAAAGAAAAAAGGCCCCACTTTAGCATAATTGTAATGTTTTGATTGCAGGATATTTAACTTTCCTTCTCATTTATATTCTACCTACTTAAAGAAATGCCTAAGTATGCAAAATGCTACATGCTATGACTTGGTTACTCAAAAGCCTCTTTTTAAAAACAGAATTATTTTCTAATTTTATCTTGAGTCATCTCTGCTTTCTTATAAAGACAAGATGTAGAAATACAAATAAGAATGAGGAAAAAATGAAGTGCACTAGTCTGTAAGTTTTCAAGAAATTTCCTTGGCCAGGAAAACTCATAGTTTTGCTTTCCACAACATTTTTCTATTAGAATGGTTTCAAATCCACCACTATAGGTTGGTTTAAGCCTCCTGTGACTTGTAAGAAACTCACTCAGCCACTATTTTATAATGTCAGAGAGGGGTTTTCTACAACTGATACAACTTTATACCTTGAGAGTGTTATTAATTTCATTTTGCTTCTTATCACTTGCATCACATTTTTCCACTTTTCTTTGCCCAGAAATAACAAGATTAAAATACAGTTTGTAATTATGTCGTATTAATTAATGTGTTTGAGAATCCAACATAAAGACAGCTAGTGGATCAGGAGACACACAAATCTGTTATTGTGACACTTTGTTTAAAAGAAAGCTTTCTGAATCTGTTAATTTGCCAACAACAATAGGTTCTGTACAAAATGTTGTTTTCCCCTAATAAATTCACATTTATCTCTAACACAACATACCAACTGAGCTTATGCAGAACATTCAGACATCTATGAGTACAGTCTGAACATTTTTTAAAGCAACAACACATAGACAATGTGGTTTAGAAGACAATTCCCTTCAAAAGATAAAGGGCACATGCGAATCCTCCATTCACAGTTCTTTACAATTTTTGTGGGACTGCTTCCTCCTCCTTGCTGTCTCACATCTCATTACTTGACACGGTTAATTGCATGTATCTCAGATTCATACATCAGTGGGTTTGCCTCGAGATCTCTGGAGGAAGCTTACAATGCTCTCAATTGTACAAGGATGAGGACAGTCTACATCAAAAATTTAGTCCCTCTAGGAGAATTGTCTCTTTCTGAGCACTGCAACACTGTGATGAGAGCAGTTCACTCTGCGGCATCAGGTCCTGTTGCTACCACGCCAACAGCAAATTTTGCTAGTTTTCAAGTTTGTTTGTTTGTTATCCAAAATACCATCCAATCATTAGACAACATGCAGCTTGTGTAGCACGGAAACACATCCCAAATATTAAAGAAAAATGCTATGTAAGTAAAAGTAGGGTTGAAGTGAAGCAGGGTGCACAGTATCATTGCGTTGTTCAAGGCAACAGAAGCTTTCACGATGCTGCATTTAAGAGAGGTTCCCTGACACGCTTACATAAAGTTGCTCTCTCAAACCAAGCAATTGGACTTTTTCCTTAGTGCTTTATGAGAGATGCAAAAGAGGCAGACATAAAAGGAAAGCAAGGTGCATATAAATCTTTAAGGTAATAGGGATCCTACAAATCTTATTTCTTTTCTCTGTTCACCCTAGGTCATCAAACAACTGAATATAAAACCCAGCAAATGTTATTTTTGTATCAGGAGCAGCAAAGGAATTGTACTGTAAATTTGCCCTGATTCACCCATGCGAGGGACCAATTTGGCAGATCATCCATCTTGTTCACTGTACACTGTCAGGGATGGCATGAATTCCCTACATGATAAACAGATTTCTTCTCAGGTCTGTGTCCTTTAACCCACAGCAAGGTCAAAATTATGGCTGCCTAGCTAATAAACTGCACGGCACTCGTTCAAGTTCCCTCTAATTTTGTCCCTTGTGCCAGCTTATACAAATCTTACTGAATAACTAGAGCAGCTGCAAATTTCCTATACAATTCCTCATCCGTGCACTGCAAACCACATGCACACACGGAGCACGGAAAAAAATCTAAAATTAAAAAAAACGCCAACCACACAGGACTAAACAAAAGCATTTACTAACGCTTCCTTCTCCCTCTCCTTTCCCTGCCCAGCCTAATTATGTAAACAACAAAGATAATCTATATTACCATCTATCACTGAAATGCTCTATGTTGCTCACATATTAGCTTATTTATTTTTTATATCACATATCAAGAGCATACTTGAATTTCATTTTTAAGACCAATCTGCTCATATTTACTCAAAAGGTAGGATTATCTGAATCTAATTTTGGAAGGCAGTACAGATGACAAACTGCTTTTTTTTTCCCTCCAATGTAAGGCAAATGTATAGTGATTTCAGATGAGGGCATTATGTACATACACTACAAATAACTCAAAATATGTCCCCCCCCTCATAATTTTTAGCACTTTTTCATTATGGAAAAACATTCTCAATATCACATAAATATTTGAGAAAAAGATCCATTATTTGGAAAAGTCAATTCAGTAATCAAATAATGCAAATATTCCCCCTTAATCTACTTTAAAAATTAAATAGACATTTAGAGTACAAGTGACTGCTGACAGAACAAAGGGGAAAATTGAATGTATTCACTATTACAGATTTAACTGTCAATCCACAGGCATTTCACATGTTTTATGAAATTATTTGTCTGTATTCACTTCTCTGAAGTTCCTTACAGGACAAAGAAACAAATTCAGGACATCTGAAAAACATGTATTAAGATTTCAAAAGTAGCAATTGAACATTTCCAATGAAAATAATACACTGAAAGCTTATTTCTATAAAATGTGTTCTGCTTTTCTAACCCCAGACTTTACTGAAGAATAGCACTAACTTAAGAGCGATTCAGTTTCTTATGAGTAAGTGATGTTCACCAAATGTTTACATGTTTGTATTTAGTGAGGAAGAGATCGTTTTGTCAATATGAGTGTAAAACTGCATTAAGGTAGGCTCCACAACCTGCAAACCCTGCAATCACTGTTTATTGATGAAGTTATGTTAATAAATTCCAGATAAACTTTGCTGTACCCAAGGGGTGTTGCATTTTACTTTCCAACAGCCTGCATCCAGTTTAAAACCTGAAGCAAAAGCCCAAAAGCTTCTAAAATAAGGTGCTAGAAGTAAAGAGCTGGAGAGATCAAGAGCATCACCACTGACGATGACACTGAAGAAGCTGGGATATTTTTAAGTCTCAGGTAGCCAAAGACATCAGATGTGCCTTGCACTTCACAGAGGATGGCAGAAACAGGGTCTTCCCAAACTAACTTGGTGGAAAGATGATGTCCATTGGCTTCCAAGCATCTGATGAAGACACAGTTCAACATGACAAATTTAAATGATTGGGAAACAGGTCTAACTTTTGCACAATTACGGGTTGATGTTGAGTAATGTCATTAAAGATTCAAATACACCATAAATGCGTTAAGTGATCCAAATCTCCTAAAGCTGCAAGTATAACTGAGTCATGAAAGGACAAAGGCTCTACCATGCACTTTTTACATTACTAATTCAAAATATACGTCTGGGGTAGAGGGAAGTTAGGCACTTTCAATTTTTAAAAGCACATTCAAATATGCAGCATAGAAAATAATAATCAAATGCAAATCAAGTACTAGGAAGTGATGTCTGCATAAATGGGCCAGCAATCTGAAATATTTGGCAAGTGCAACGCCTCCATTCATAGCTAAAACACAAAGACAACTGAAACACCAACACTGGCTATTTCACAATGAAAACAGCTAAGAGAGACCTATGACCATACAGTGAAGGTTCAAGTTCAAGTCTTTGAAGGCAAATGTGTCTTCATAAAGACAAATATATCTGATGCAGTTTGTGAAGGCTAAAGAGTCATACTTGGGAACTCTCCTGGCAGAACACATAGTCCTTATTCTCAAATCTGGAAATTCTTCAGTTTTGGCTTTTCCTACTATGATACCAGAGACGTAAGTACAGTCAAAAATGAAGATATATAAATGAATGGAAACAAAGTCAAAAATTGTACAAATACCTTCTGTTTTCTTTTCAAATACTATTTTCCCAATATAAAATTGTTGCTTGAACGACCATCTTACTGCAACAAAACCCCAAACTGTAACCACAGCTTGCCCATCTCCCTCCCCACCTCTCAGTAGTTATCAGTTAAGAAACTAAACAAACTCTGTAAACAATTTAGCATATAAGACTAAGGTCTGCCTGAGCATTTTACAAAACTGGTTGAGAACTGTAACAAATTGACCCTGCCTTAACTATATGAACACAGAAAATCTTCTGTGGTCTTGCATTCCTTAGCGCAATGGATGAAGCCAGTGATGCTTTGGTCCCATCCATCCTCTATACCTTCTCCATAGCTTCTATCATAACAGTGTTTTAATAAATGTGAGAAAGTCTGAAAACAGCGTTGCAGTCTCAGTTCACAGGTTGCAGTGGTTTTCCTGAACTTAACATTAGATTTTCTTAAACTTCTCCAACTACAAGACTTCCCACTCCCATGCTGTGGTTCTGGACCCTGGGTCCTGAATTGCTTGAACACTGGCTGTAGAACGTTTTGGACTATCCTTAGCCCACCAGTGGCCTGCAAATTACCTGAAAACACTTCCTCCAACACCGTATCAGCCCAACACATTCCTCTATGAGGTCTGATCATGTTCTGCCATCCTAACGTGAGAAAATTCCTGTAGGGTGTAACAACCCACAGGCTGCTCTGGGCTCCCCTCCTGCAGCACTCCTCAGCATCACTCAGCAGTCAGAGACATTTAATTATATCCTGCAAAACTGTACTGGTCAAAAAGGCCTATTTTTGTGATGCAGAGGAACTCTTCCAACCACAGGAAGTAATCTAATGCGGCGCTCTGTAGAAAAGCAGAGGTACAGCTCAGATCCACAGCACACCTCACCTGGATGCTCCTTCCAAAGCTCAGGACGCCTCAGGACACTGCAAAGACTTGCAGGTGACACCTCCTACAACCTCCCCAGAAAATTACAGATGTCTACATGAACTGACACCAGTCCTGGATCTATCCCCTGCATCAGAGGTATCTAGATGACG